TCTCTCTCTCTCTCTCTCTCTCTCTCTCTCTCTCTCTCTCTCTCTCTCTCTCCCCCTTCCTTCCTTCTCTCCCTCTGTCTCTCTCCCTCTCTCTCTTTGTGTGTGTGGGGAGGGACTGAACTCAGAACTTTGAAATGTGCTAAGCCACACCCAACCAAAGTTTTTTTTTGTACTTTTTTTTTTTTTGGCTTTAACATGTGAAATAGTGAGTTCCATTATAACATTTTTATACACACACATCATCTTAGTGTGTGGTTACATCTAGGCTCAGCATGAAAAGAAACATTTGCTAATTGCTTATTTCCTCTCTGTTACCTTCTGTTCCCCTCCCTGCAGACCCTTTCCTCCCTTAGAAAGCAGGGTAGATGTTCTTTCCTGTGCCTGCCAGACAGACCTCCGCTGCTGGAACTGTAGCCTACCGGCATGCGCTAGGCAGCCTCTGGCAGCCAGAGAAACCCTTCTATCGAGATACCCAGGCACTAGCAGCTTGAGTGTAAGGCCTGCTAGCTAGGAGAAGACACCATCCAGGGTGAGGCGTCCTGCTCTCTGCTCCTGGGCCAGACTCTGTGTCCCAGAATCCTTCTTCACCACAGGCTAAAAGCAGCTACAGGACTCTCAGGCCTTTGCTCCCCAAGCCTAGAGAAGTCCGCTGAGGTCAAGGGGTTGCTGACTGGGGGGAAATGAAGGCTAACACCATCCCCCGTCTCCCCTCTTGCCCTGTAAGCTGCATGGAATACAGAAATGTCTGAGTTTTCTGGTTGTTCACCCTCAGAAGCTTGCAGCCTGGGAAGCGCCAAACATCTGCCTTTTACAGCCCCGCACCCCCAGCGTGTGCGCTGTGGTGGCCTTTTCATAAGGCTATGGCTCCATCTACAGCCCGAGGAGGGAGCATCCACACTGGGGTTCAAATGGAGCAGCTTAGGGGCGGAGCACAGGCTCATTGCAATTAACACTAATAAAGTGGGTTTTTCCCCTCTAGCTGCACTGTTTATTCAACGCAGACGTGGACGATGCTGGAAGTTATTTATTTCAGACTATGTCTACAGTAACAGCTGTTCAGAATATACTAGAACCCTTTTAGCCAGAAATTGGCTTGGAATCTCTGTTTTAAACCACTGTTTGTTATGAATTGAGTTAAATAGCCTTTGCCACTTTGTTTTTCTATTGTAACAATGGAGCCCATACAAGCCTTTAAAATGCCAAGACTGCATGTTCTTTTGTTCACTCCACTAACGTTTAATTAGCACCTCCCGTGGAGCTGGTATAGCGCTGAGCCTGAACCCATCCCAATTACCATCAGAGAGGGCTCCTCTTATTGACGGAAACACTTCTATATAGGTTGAGAAAGACAGAAAAGAGAGCTGGCTCATGAGTATATCAGAAATAGAGGCAGTGCAGAGGCAGCAGACATGGGATCCTTCGGTTCACAGCCACAGGGAAGGCGGAAGTCAACCTCGTACATCAGCTAGATGGTTGTCCTCTTCAATCGTTTTTTTCCCCTCAAAAGTCTAGTTTGGCTGGGCACGGTGTTGTACAACTGGAACAGGAGGACCATGAGTTCAAGGCTAGCCTGGGCTCAAGAGCAAGTTTGAGGCCAGCTTGTATCCAAAAATAAGGTGTCATTAGCTTTTTCCTAAATAAGTAACTGTTTTATGCTAAAAACAAGAAGAAAAGAGACCCATGAAAACACTACCAAGCAAAGCTAAACTGCACCCTGATAACCATGGTGTGGCCTTTTTCCTGACCCCAGGAGAAGCGTATTCTCCATCTGCCTGCTCAGTGTGATGCTGAGTTTCTACGGAGCATGTGTGAACACACCGTCACTTACGCTGTGTGTGGTCACCGGGCTTTCCGGTTACAGGCTTTGTATAGATGCCGCCGACACCCCCCAACAGATGTACAGATCAAGGAGCACGCGAGAGCTCCCAGCCCTCTGACATACATCCCTTTGCTGGCAAGGTCCAACCTCCTGGACTTTCCTGTCACATCTAAACTAAAGTCTACCTTCAGGAGCCCTGAGTGCTCAGCCACAGAGAGACCTGGCTGAGTGGCAAGTAGTGATCACTGGGATGGGGACGGGCATTGGAGCACCCCAGCAGAGACTGGCTAGAGCAGGGCAGACTGGTGACAGGAGATTTAAATAATCGTGTACTGGGGACACGGGGAGTGTGGCATGCTTTTGACCTGATAAGCACTGAATTGATGGTCAGTTAGCTGGAGGTAGGAAATTATGGAAGACAGAATTGCTTTGTCCATCTTCAGCAGCCCCACCCCCAGCTTGTGACTAATGTCATTCCCATTTTGCTTTTCCTTCTTCCATGTCTTCCTCCCCATTCTGCTCTGGAAGCAACTACAGTTGTTCCTCGGTATCTATGGCAATTGGTTCCTAGACCCTAAATCCAAGGTCACTAGCATCTCTTATATAAACCCCAAGGGTATGCCTATATAGAACCTCTGTGCATCCTCCTTGGGCTTAAAGCCATCCCTAGACTTCATAGGGCACTCAGAACAACATCGGGGCTGTGCAAATGGTGTGTTTTACTGAATATTTAGGGGATAATTGCAAGGGGGAGCCATAAACATTCACTTCAGACACAATTCGGTTCAAATGGTTCCCATTTGTCCTTGGTTGAATCCAAAGGTGCAGAGGCTTGGGATGTGCAAGGCAAGTTCCTCTGGTCTTTGAGCCGACCCAGGCTGTTCTCAGTGTGAGGTGAGACCTCGGGGACCTCTACACAGCTAAAGGTGTCTTTCTTTGGAAGCGTCTTCCATATTGTCTCCTTCAGTCACTGGGTTCCTGTCCAGTTGAGAAGATGTCTCAAGGTTTAGTGAAAGGCAGATCTTCCAAGGATGGAACCACAGCAGAAACAAAAACAAAATAGCAAAAGACCGGAAGCGTCTCAGAGACTCCCAGGAAACTAGAACCGAACATCCTTCACGAGTGGAAACCGAGACAGGACTGTCCCAGGCTGGAGTAACAAAGCACAAGGGTCTCGACTACTGGTTCAGGAATTCCTCCAAAGGTGATTCGCTCTTAGACGGGGTGGGAGCAGAATTATCTCGGAGGCTGGAATCTGCTGCGCAGAAACTATCTGCTGTCTGGTTTTCTCCCGCACGCTGAACCAAGAAGGTAGAAGGAGACCCTATGTCATTCTTCCCTCCCACTTGAGCTGCTACTGGTAAACACACACACTGTCCCAGCCCTGGCTTTAATGCCTGTCCTGTTGACTTCCTTAGTTCCTGAATGAGTATGTGTCGTGACTACGTTGGGGGTTCAGCTTCTCTACCTGAGCCCCATCTCCCATGGGTTTCTGGGTGCCTGGGGTGTGGGGAAGGGGCTCCAAGTAGCTGAGTGAGCAAAGGTACTGTCCTATAGGACACCCTTCTTCTATCCTCCGTGCCCCTGGAGGATGGAACTATCCCAGCGCTCCAATTTCTTTCACCCGAGTGGAAAAACCATGAAACTGTCTTAAGACAGGCCGGAGGAAAAGCCCAAGGTGGAGCCCAGGCAGAGGTGGAGCCCAGCAGCCCTGGGCTTACAGACAGTTGTGAGCTACCATGTGAGTGCTGTGACTGTAACCCATGTTCCATGCAAGAGCAGCCGGTGCTCTTAACCATGGAGTTATCTCTCCAGCCCATAATAGCATTTCTGAGACTGGCATTTCGGTAGATCCCAGGTCATATGTAGTTACTGACCACATCCTTGGGCTTTGATTCCCCAGCTGGAAATGAAGGTTAGGAATTGCCCCTGCCCTCCCTCCCACAGCCGTCCTGGCCTCTCTCAGATGGAAAGACTACAGACATTTGCAGTGTCTGCTAGGCTTGTTCAATGCCAACACTCACCTGGAAACGTGTCCACGTATGGAACACATGCTAGGCTCCTCCAGGCGATAGCTGTAGGAGGGGCCTCAGCCTCCTAGTGCTTGGGTTCCCAGCTGATTGCTTGATCCAGTGATCAAGTGGCAGATTTGGACAAACTCAAGTTAATCGCGGAGAAGACACCAAACTGCACACTCAAAGAAATGTTGACTATGATTATATTACAGCATGATAGTGCTGTACTTGACAAGTAAGAACACAGAATGTTCATTTACATTTGAACTTCAGACAAGCAAGGAATTGTTTGTCTGCATTATTTGGAGGACATACTTATATTAGAATTTCCTTCTACCTGGCCAGCCTGGCAGATGCTCTGAACCCCGTGTTATGGACAAGCATGAGTCTCACTGTGTTGTCTAGATTGGCCTGAAACTGTTGGGCTCATATGGTCCTCTCTCTTAGCCCCTCGGGTAGCTAGGACCACACCTGGTGTGAGCTGTCTAATCGTTAGAGGAAAACACCCAACAGCATCGGCAGAGCGGTCGTTCTGACCCCGGCTCCGGGTGCCTCTTGGCTCAGCCCTTTGGGCTCACAGCTTTCCAAGATGCCGTGATTCTTAGCCTGGCCGCCAGCTCAGTAAGTAGGTGAGGATGATCTTGAATTCTTGATCCACCTGCGTCCGCCTTCCAAATGCCCGTAACAGCTGTGCCCCACCGTGCCCCATGCTCACCGCCCGTGTGGTCACCACTCACCTGTCTGCCTGGAAGAGCAAGCCCCAGCCGGCACCCTTCCTCCTCCCCCTCCTCACAGAACTAAAACTTCAAAAAAGCTACTGTTCTGACAGAAAGACAAAGGTTTGTTTCTTGAGATGCCGAGTTTAAAACAGCTCAGCTTTGCAATGAGGCCGAGAAGCGGGTTTGAGCATCAATGCCAGCCACTTCCTGGTGTGTTTACTGCTGTCAAAAATGATTTCTTTCTAAGCCACACGCATGTTGCATGCTTTCCATGACGACATTTTCCAAGCTCTTCAGCCCTTCCGTGTGGGCAACTGTGACACCCTGACACCCGGGCAAGGGCCTCCCAACACAGATAAGGATGGATCAGTCTCTGCCGGAGAGGTTGGAAATAGCAAGGATTTGGAAATCTCATCGCCAATTAGAAAGCAGACCTCCCTCGAGGTGAGAGAAAGAAAAGTCAGAGATGAATATGAAATTCCATAGCCCTGGATGGTCTCAGAATGAAATGTTTTCTAAATCAAATGAAGCTACATGGTGGAAATTGAGGCGAAAGTCCTTAAGGTGGTTTTTAAATGAAAATGAAATGTCGGCTAGTAAGTTACAGGGGTGCAGTGACACTGTGTGGCAGGCTGGTGTCTCATTCATTTCCAACATAGGTTTTTATGTGAGCCTATTTGATTATAATTTGATTATCTGACCCTGTAATTAAAGTTTATTGCCAATTTGGAGGCATACATGTAAAATGAACTGGTTTTCTTCAAACCAATATACAATCTTTAGGACTCGCTGGCTTCTGCTTTTGCATTTAAATGGAAAAGTCAGCTCTAACGTGACAAACAGGTTGGGGTTTTGATCATTAATCCTGCTAAAGCAATATTCATAAATTCAATTCTGAATCAGTTGGAATACTTTTCTTTTATTAGTTTCTGTGTTATTAAATGAGATTGTTTCTGACTAATATATTTCTGGACTCAAACTGTAGCTCCGAGCTGTTATTCAAATCAAATAACATGCCCCTTACTTGTGCCTCGCACTAATAAATGCCAACTTGTGATACATTTGCAAGAGGCCGTCAGCAATATTAAAGGAGGCAATAACGCCAAGGAGGTCTCAAAGTGAACTGATTTTTCTAAAGATTTCTTCACATACATACGGATACTCAAACCTTTTGTCTTAAGGTTAAAAAAAAAAAAAAAACATGCTTTGGGTCATGGACACGGAACCATTGCCAGCACTTTCTTGGCCAAGAGATTGGCCTGAAAAACTCTGAACTTGAGGACCCTGAACATGAGAAGGGGGAAGTGGACTTCAGGGTGGTTATCTTTAGGAAACTAACTGGGGAGGAAAAGGTGGGGTTTTCTTCTAATCTGCAGGAGCAAAGAAAGAGGCTGCATCACTTTTGAAATTAGCTAGTGTCGTCACAAGCCATCGCTAGGTCTCCAAGCAGAGAGCCATCTCAGACCCTCTTTCTCCACTCAATTTTACAGACAGGAACTGAGAGCAAATCCCAAATGGAACCCACTCTTGATAATCCTGCCATTTTCCAGTACTTTCTTCACCAGTCAGCCTTATTATTACTTTTAGAAACTGCACAGGAGGATTCAGAAGCCCAGCTCTGCCCTTCGGCCTTTTGGACCCCCAGAAGATGACAGCCTGAACCCCAGGAGCACCAGCCACTCACTACTGCTCCTACCTGTCCTTTCTCCCCATTAATAAGACCCGACTATAAAGTTCAAGAGGAAAACAGCTTAGACTCGCTGATCTTTAAAATACAACATTCTTCCCGAATAGTTACAATGGCAATGAGGTTTTCATTGCTCTGGAAACTTTCTCTGAGCACCCATATTTGGGCCTCAGAAAAGGTCCTCCAGACTAGGGTGCTGACTATGCCCTTGTCTTTACCGAGACACTCCAGCCCTACCTTCTGTGGTTCCAGGTCCTTCCAGGCTTCCTCCTCATCGCCATCATCGTGGGCGGGAGTTGTCTCTCCGGCCTCAGAAAGAAAATATTTCAGAATCTTTGGTAAAATTTAAGTCTCCATGTTGCCGGAAGCCTTAGAGTTCACCATCTGCTCTGTTGACCATGCTCCCCATCAATAACGTCACTTGGGGTTCATCCACCCAGCCTGCACTCAGCAGGGGCCTGGCCTGCCCTCCCCTGGATCCTTGACTTAAGTGACTGAGTCAACCAGAGAAGCCATTAATTTTAGGGTCTCTCCGTTGTTCCCACCGTGAAGCAGGCACACTGCCGAGCGTTCCTCCTGGTCTGCTGGTACTCTACTGGGCAAATTTCCAGAAGGAACAGGGAAGACACCAAGGCCAGGAGATCTGGTTACTGAGGAGCAGGCTTCCTCTATCCCCTTCACCCTGCCAGCAGCTGTACCCCAACGCTGTGGGGGGCACAGCTCAGGCAGGAAGTGGCTGGTGCTGGCTTTTTTGGTTTTGTCATCAGAAATGGGTCCCCGGTCTTCCGTGGGTCTTTGCCGGCAGGTACTCTGTGATTGCTGGTACTCAGGCTTTGATGATGCCTGGAAGGGGCAAGACCCCCAACCTCAGGCTGACCATGCTCCTGGTTGTGGCTTCTGGGGCAAAGGCCTACATAAGAGGTTGTCGTGGGTGTTGCTACAGGGCCGATCTAGAGTGACAGCTTAGCATTGTGCTGAGCCGAGGTAACCAGACGTGATGGCTAATCTTGATTTTCAACTTGACATGCCTAGGAAGAGAGAACTTCATTTGAGGAATGTCCTCCATCGGATTGGCCTGTGCGAGCATCTGGGGGCATTTTTTCTGATTGCTAATTGATGGAAGAGGGCCTACTCCACTGTGGGCTATGCCATCCCTGTGCTAATAAGCCTGGAGTATGTCAGAAAGCCAGCTGAGTGGAAGCTGAGAGTTAGCCAGTAAGTAACTGCTCTCCAGAGTTCTGCCTCTGCTTCTGCTTGGGTTCCTGCGCTCACTTCCCTCAGATAAACTGGTACCTAAAGGTGTAAGATGAAATAAGCCTTTTCCTCTCCTAATTGTTTTGGGTCCTGGTGTTTATGACATCAACAGAAAGCAACCAGAACACCTGCGCTTGTGGGTCTCAGGTCTAATTGCTCGCTGCGTGCACCGGCAGCTCCTGCAGACTGGTGTGCGCCGGCTTTTTCAGGCTGGCAAGGGGGAACCTCTTTCCCGGGCTGTGGTGAAGTGCGGAAGCCTTTGCTGCCAGCCAAACACACGGGCCCTGCATCTGACTGCGCATCTACAGTATGAGCACTCCCTGTGACTCCATACCCTGTCTTCATGTATCATAAAATCTGCCATCTAATGGTAGGGAGGCCATCCTCTCTAATGCGCTCTGCCTTCTGAGTGGGACCAGAGTCAAGGCTGTGACTGGGCATGGGTGCTGATACCATGATACCACAGCGGTTATTGTGCTGCTGTGCTGGATGAGTGCACATGGACACACATTGATGAAGTATGCACACAGATTCTGTGCAGTTCAAGTAGGTGGATGATGCTGTGACATGCTTGGGATCAGGTCTCAGGTAGTGGGCTTTTCTTTCCGCTGTCTACTGGCTCTGGCCCTCTGAACTTAGGAGCAATCTCTCTACAAGGGACATGCCCACTGTACCTAATTTTGTTTGTTTGTTTGTTGACACAGGGTTTCTCTGTGTAGCCCTGACTGTTCTAGAACCAGCTCTGTAGATCAGGCTGACCTCTAACTCACAGAGATCCCTCTGTCTCTGCCTCTTGTGTGCTGGGATTAAAAGTGTGCACCACTGTACACAGCCATATTAAGATTTTTATTATGGCAAAATGTGTATAACATATTACCATTCCAGTCATTTGAAGTGTGCACTTTGGTACACTGAGGACATTTACAGTGTCATACATCCATCACCACTACTCATTTCAGCATCCCAAATGAAAACTGGAGGGCTGGAGAGGTGACCCGGTGATTGAGAATGTATACTGTTCTTCCCAAGGAACTGAGAATTTGACCACGTCCTCACATTGGGTGGCTCACAACTGACTGTAACTCCATCTCTTGGGGGAAGAAGTCAAGTCTCTGTGCTCACTGACACTCACTCACATACACTCACACACACATATACATACACACTCATATGCACACATATACACACTGACATACATTCACACATGCACATACACACACAGACACACTGACATACACACACATACATACTCACACAAACACTCACTCACATACATTCACATACACACATACACTTACTGACACAAATACACACAGACACACACATTCACAGACACACATATTCATAGACATATAGATATATACACACATTCATATATACAGTCACACTCATATGCACGTATACACACACTGACATACACGAACACATATACAAACACACACGAACACTGATATACACACACATACTCACACAAAAACTCACTCACAAACATACATTTACATACACACACATTTATAGACACACAGACACATACACTCATACACAGACACATACACAGACACTCACACACATACATGCACAGACATACAGACATATACACACACACACACTCACAGACATAAACAGACATACAGACATATATACATATTTACATGTACACATATTCACATTTGCACATACACACAACTAAAAAATAAAGAAGAAATTCCACACTCATCAAACTCTGAGCCCTCCCCGCTCCCCAAGCCCTTGGTTTGGATCTAAATATGTCCCCAAAGATTAGTTTGATGGTAATTGACCGCAGGGTGACCAGTGCTGGGAGATGGCATGGCACCTCCTGGAGGCGCTGCCCTTGGGAGAGCTTGGAGAGCCCCAGTCTCTCTGGCCCCTGCTTCACGATGTGGCCTCACTCCCCTTCCTGTTAGGACTGCAGCCTTGAATGCCTCTTCAAGAGAATCCCTCGTCAGAGTCAGGGCTGCATGCCGCTTTTCAACATCCAACCTTCTTGTAAGGCATTTCATTTTCTGATGAGGAGTGGGCCGCTACAGTGACCCTCTGCACTTCCTTTAAGAATGTCTTATTCTTGTTACCTCCCCGGCGAAATTCTTTTGTTTTTAGCTGGCTTCGCCTAACGTGACATTTTCAAGGTTGGCCCATCTTGTCATTTGTATGAGGATTCCATTCTCCCCTCTGGCTGAGTAACTGTATGTGTACCCCATGTTTTGAGGTTCTTCCCATCACCGCGTGTTCCCACTGTGGCTGTATCCTGTGGCAGGCCATCAGCAGTACACTTTCTCTGTATCTTTGACAACAGTATTTTGTGATCATAGATCATAGCTATTCCTATCCCTAACTTGTGTTCAAAGTTCATAATGTGGAGAATGTTCTGTATGTTTGGGGGATAAGGTATTTTTTATAATATTTTTATGGTTTATTTAACTTTATTTTATGTGCATTGGTGTGAAGGTGTCAGATCCCCTGCAAATGGATCTTCAGACAGTTGTGAGTTGCCATGTGGGTGCTAGGACTTGAACCCAGGTCCTCTGGAAGAGCAGTCTTAACTCTTAACCACTGGGCCATCTCTCCAACCCCAGGGGGTAAGGTATTATCAGTACAAATAAGGCTAGTCTGGGAAAGCACATGGGCACAGATGTTTTCTGGGCTCAGATTGCCTTATTATCTTGAGATCAATGTCTTGTTTTGTAGCCCAGGCTGCCTTCAATTCTTGATCCCCCTGCCTCAGCTTCCTGGGGGCTCAAATTCCAGACACACACTACTATGTACAGCCGAGTTTATCTCCATTTGGAAGTTCTGCATCCCAGTGCTCACCACTACTCCTGGCTGTAAGAATCCCTGGGGAAATTTTGCTTTTTAAGATGTATTTCTTCGAGCTTCATGTGTATGGGTGCATTCCTGTGCACCATGTGTGTGCAGTGTCCATAAAGGCCAGAAGAGAGCTGTGATCCCTGGAACTGGAGTTACAGACTGAGCCACCATGTGAATGCTGGGAATTGAACTCTGGTTCTCTTGTGACATCAACCAGTGCTCTTAACTGCAGAGTTGTTTCTCCAGCCCTGGCCAGGGGAAACTTCAAACTCTGGAGGCTGGCAGTGCCAGAACTTCTGCCGTGAAAAGTCTAGGTGGGGTCAGATGGGGACTCTGAAGCCACCCCACCATGGTTCTTCCATGCAGCCAGGGCCGCAAACCCTGCTCTGTACAAACATTATCAAGGATGCGTCACCCACCACCAGCTACCTAGGCTCAAGCCCAACTGGTTCACGAAGCTGTCTAGTTTTTTGAAACCCGCTTTACTGAGATAATTCAAATTTCCATGTAATTTACCCTTTTAAATATACCAGCCAACGTAAGATCCTATGGTTGAAGACACCACACGCTTTAGGGTTGCAGGCCACATAGAAATTAATTTGGAACTGACTGGAAACTTCCTCCCTGATAAATTGGGGAAGGGGTTAAACAGGCCACTAGGGTAGAGAAATCAATAGTATCTTCCTGGGAGCCAGACTGGGCCAAGACTGTCTCAGACGGGCTGGAGAGATGGCCCAGAGGTTAAGAGCACTGACTGTTCTTCCAGAGGTCCTGAGTTCAATTCCCAGCAACCACATGGTGGCTCACAGCCATCTATAATGAGATCTGGCGCCCTCTTCTGGCATGCAGGCATACATGGAAGAAATGTTGTATACATAATAAATAAATAAATCTTTAAAAAAAAGAATAGATGCTTAAGAATTCATTAAAAAAAAAAAAGACTGTCTCAGAGGCTCTGATGTAAGTGTAAAGAGAATTTCATTTTTATACCTTTGCTCAGGAGTGGACTTGACAAGACCAGTCAGTGTAAGGCTGGAGCCAGTGTCTCAGAGGAGTCAAAACTGTGGTTTCTGGGAACCTGGTTCTTCCCCCTGGGCTGTGTGATCAGCCCTAAAGCAGTTGTGTCTGAGGTAGCCTCTGTGCTTTGTCAACACTGTCGGACTTAACTCTCTGCTGACCTTGGTCATTTTCCCTTGTTGATATATTTAGGATGCTGTACCTCTTAATACATTTGCTTGGTGTAAGTCGTCAGCTTATACAAGACCTCCTGATCCCAGTTAGTGCTTTTATCTCTTTATTGCACATTCCTGGCTCCTCCCACTCAACACCGTACCATTCAGCTCCCCTAGTCCTATGGGTTTGGGTCATTTATTACCCGCCTTTGGACCCTGTATGCTAAATACCCATTTGCCCGGCAAGGTGTGCTCACTGGTACAAATAGTGGCATGACTATTAAAAGGGTAGCCAACAACTTTTTTGGTTGGATTTGAGGCTGGCTCCACAGAAGGGAATTCATGCCTGATACTCTAAATCTAGGCAAAATCCCATGACTGAGCAGTCACAGGCTCTGGGCGGCGGGGGGAGCCTAATGTTGTTTTGCTAAATTCTCACTGTCAAGCTGCACTCTAAACATGTAAGCTTATACCCATACACACCCATACCCATAGTGATGTTTTCAGCCTTGGCCAGAGGGGCTAACTTTTTTTTTTAACTTCTTTATTGACTCTTTGGGAGCTTCACATCATGTATCTCAATTCTGCTCACCTTCTGGTGCCCCCATATCCTCCCCTCACCCCTGCCATGCCCCCCCACCAAAGGAAAGAAATCAAAGTAAGCAAGCAAGTGAACAAAAGCAAAAACTAAACAACAACAACAACAAAAAACGAAACCAAAATAAAAACTACAACAACAGAAAAATCTCTTTGCTTCTCATTCGTTCTTTCTTCTTCACCACCTCTTCATCCGTCCTGGTGGCAGTAGAGGCTTCAGTGTACCGTACGGTATACCTCTTTGCCCGTCAGTCTTACTGGCAAATGGTTTTTTGTTGTTTTTGAGACAGGGCTTCTCTGTGTAGTCCTGGCTGTTCTGGAACTAGCTCTTGTAGACCAGGCTGGCCTTGAACTCAAAGAGATCCGCCTGCCTCTGCCTCCCGAGTGCTAGGATTAAAGACGTGCTGAGGAATTATTGGCAGTTCATGGCTGCTGGGCAGAGAGTCAGTTTTTTAAACGCTGTGGCCTCTTGTAGGTTGTCCCTGGTCCAGTGGACAGCTCCACACTCATGCAC